CTTAAAATCAGCCTGGCTGATTTGTTTAAACAATATCCCATACTATTAACACGTGATTTATTGTTGTACATACTAATACATGATTGTCGCATTTTACTTAATTTTACTTCATGCAAAAAGTAAATAAATATACATAGTGTGATTACGGAGTGATCGATCTTCTCTTTGTTTGTAAATAGTTTTCTTTATTTGTAAAGCAGTTTCCTAATAAAGGTTGGCTCACATTTGTCTCGCGAAAAGTAGAGAAGAATTAGACACGTCGCGAAAAAGCATAACTGGAGCAAAAATTCATACTTATGGTCTAATATATAGTGAGACGGTATCTTTGGCTATAATATTTATGTTTCGCACATCTAACTTATTATCGCTAGAAATTTTTTGAATTTATGCCCTATTTATACAGTTCAAGCATCGTTACCACATAATACTGTGTTCAACATAACTTAAACGAAAGTTCATACTTACGGCCTGATATATGGTGAGACGGCATTTTTGACTATAGTATTTCATGTTTCATACACCCAACCGATTATTGTTAAAATTTTTAGATTCTCTAACCTCTCTATACAGCTCAAGTGTTACTACGTTCAACAATGGATCAGTCTGATATGGGTGATGAGATAGTTAGTCATGATTATGATATTCAAGAAAGTGATTTAAGTCATGTTGGAATAGCTAAAAGAAGGTCGCTTGAAATGCTCACGATACCTGATACTGCTTTTGAAGAGGCCTTAGGGTTATGTGTCGGAATGAAATTTGCTCATTGAAACCATGCATATTTGGTATTGTTGGCATATAGACAGCGCACTGGTTTTGTATAGCAGATTCAAGAAAAAAAGTTAGATAAAAATGGTGGTGTCTACAGGTATGTATTTGTATGCCGGCATGCTGGAAAGTTTTATTCAAACAAAACAGCTACCGATCCTTCACAACAATGTAACAGAGAATCAATCAAGACAAATTGCACTTGTTATATTAACATGTGCTGGCTACTTAAATCATCAAATCCGGCTATTACTAAGATGAATCTTGAACATCACGGTCATATACTTAGTCCTGAAACAATTCGCTTTGCTAATGTATATCGACAGCTTCTCCAGAATATAATAGATAAAATCCAGTTCTATGTAAATACGATTCATAATATTGATCAGCATATGTTAAGACAGCTTCTTAGTGGAGAATTCAAAGATCAGTTGTTTTTGGATAAAGATCTGACAAATGCGATCCAACAGTTTCGAAGGTGCGATATCATTGATTCTGAGCAGGATCCTGAAAATGATGCATCAAATCTTCTTAAAGAGTTACAAAAAATGAAAGAAGATGATCCAACATGGTTTATAGCTTATAATTGTGTCAAAAATCGTCTTTTTCATTTATTTTGGATGACACCTTATCAACAAAATCTGTATTTAAAGTACCATGATGTTATTTTAACCAATAATACAGCATGAACTAACAAATATCACATGGCCCTATGCTTATTTGTTGGTGTTGATCAACATTGTCATTCAAGATTAGTAGCTCAGGCCCTAATGTTTGATGAAACAACTTTGTCATATATATAGGTTCTCAAAAATCTTCTATTAGCTACAAATAATTTATCACCTACAACAATTTATTCTGACTGTGATACTGG